TTAGAGGAGGTGGGGCATAGCCCTATGGTAAAGCGCATGCCTATACAGAGAAATGCATTATCAAAAATTGGAGAGACTCATAACTGTTCAAAATGGTAAGAACAAGCAATTACAAGTGCCCATGGATAGGATGTCTATTTGTAAGACTTCCTCCCCAAATGCTTACGGAACATCTTGGAAGAGGAGGCAGAAAGAATGTAAGAGCCAGATGATGGGGGGAGGGCTGTGCACAGCTGATCCAAAATATTCAAAATATTGACCTTTTAAATTATATTTTTAGGAATTATAATACATTTTTCTTCACTGTCTTTAATAATACATCTCATCATCCATAATGATCTCATAGCTTCGGCAATCCTTATAAAGGATGTATACATTTTGATCAAAGAATCAAAACTGTTTTAAACTCATTCCTGTTTGTCAAACACAAAACTTTAGAAATTCAGTCATTGTTTTTAAGCTATCTGGAGTCAAACCACAAAATTATAAACATTTTATAAAGCAAAATAGTGTCCTGCTGCTGCTTTTGTGGCTGGTGGTGGGGTTGGTAACTGGTGTTTAATAAGGGAGGTAGAGAGTAAACACAAACTCTACAAGTTCTTGGGTTTTCTTTAAACCTTTTATTTTAAAACTGCCAACTAAGAGTAAATCCCAGTGAGCATGAAGAAATAAGTATAACAGATAAAAGTTTCTATAAGGAAAACAAACTACTGCTGAAATGAAGAAACTATCATTGCCATGGGTTACAGAACTGGATGAATTCATCTCCATTCTCTCAAAGTTGACATGATGATTTCAGGACTTGTACGTGTGTGTGTGTGCGTGTGTGTGTGTGTGTGTGTGTGTGTGTGTATGTGTGTGTGTATGTGTGTGTGTGGTGTGTGTGTATGTGTGTGTGTGTGTGGTGTGTGGTGTGTATGCATGTGTGCATGTGTATGCATAGTGTGTGGTATGTGTGCGTGCATGTGTGAGTTTGTGTGGATGTGCAAGTGTGTGTGCATGTGTGTGTGTGTGTCTGTGTGTGTGTGGTTGGCATGTGTGGATGTGACATGTGCAGACGCATGCAGAAGGTAGATGAGACTATATCGTCTCCTGGAGCTGGAGTTCCAGGTGGTTGTGAGCCTCTACTGTGGGTTCTGAGAACCAACAGACATCCGGGGAGAGCAGTAAGCACCCTTAACCTTGAGCCATTTTTCCAGCCCCAAACTTAATGAATCTGATTTTAATAAAGTTTAAACAGAAACTGAAACACAACTTTTAAAGTTTAAGTGAATGACAACACAGTCAAGGAAAAAAAGAAAGTTGGGGAAATTACCCACAAAGACGTAAAAATTTCAAGCAATAATAACCGAGACTAAACATTTTGACCCAAAGTGTACATGGGTCATGAGAACAAAGTTCAGAAATGAACCTGTGTTAACACATGCAGAGATGATCAAATGGCTAAAAAGAATTCTATTTTAATTGTTTAGGTGAGAAAAGATGAAGTTGGCCAGTCTGTTACATCACATCCATATATCTACTCTAGATAGAACACAGACCCAAGTTAAGGATACAGAGTAAAATATAAGAGTATACATTCTTCATGACATCAGAGTGTGTCAAGGTATAGTAATAAAACACAAACCATGTTAGGTATGAAAGAAGGATCTGTACATTCGGTTTCATTAAAATAGAGTGATACTGTGTGTCAAAGTTTACCTTTAAAGATAATGAAGCTATAACCTACATCTTGAGAGATAAGGCCTGACAATCATGTATTCATTTAAGACTCACATGCAAAAAAGCAAAGAACTTCTACAAAGTAATAAGAAGACAATGTACCTAATCAAAAATTGCTTCAAAATAATCTATCTAGAATAGAAAAGAATATTTATACGGCAACATGAGTATGAAAATTCCCAGTGTCATTAATCATCAGAAAATACACCTCAGGCCATTTGGCAGGATCAAGGAGGTGGTGAATCGTGAGCTGTCACAATCCTCAGTATCACTGATTGGGATATTTTCTCTGGAATATTATTTGGAAGTGTTTTCTGAAGCTAGAGATGTTGCTACATACAATATGGCTAAATCTGACTTACACAGTCCTGAATAACAGGACGTTAGTGTGCTCCCTGTGCATCTGTGAGTTAGTTCAAGAACTGACGACAGGCATCTGGAGTGGCATGAGTCTCTCCTGACACTCTTCTGTGAACATCCATACAGAGCACACTATCACTAACGCTGATCTTTGAAACAATGGAAATATTCTATACTCATTTTCACCAGAGAGCTATGCAGATGCATAAAAATATATTAAACTCACAAAGTAGGGGCTGGAGAGATGACACAGTGGTTTAGGCTGCTTACACTTTGCAAGGGCATCTGAGGTCAATTCACCTAGTCTGCTGTTCACAACCACCCATAACTCTAGTTTCTAGAGATCTGATGCCCTCTTCTGGTTTCAGTGAGCACCTGCACTCAAGTACGTATACTCCACCCCACCTGAACATATATTCTAAGTAATAAAAATAAATCTTCAAACACATTATCAAGCTATACTTATAGGACTGACATTCTACATTGTATGGATGTTTTGACATGAATCAAAGAATTCCATAATAGATGCAAATGCTTGAATCAAGTGAGCAGGCCATCTAAAACACTGGAGAAAACACTCAACATGATATTCTTAGGCATATTAATGAATTTTTCAAGTAAGTAGGAAAACATGGTGAAATTTCAGATACATAACAAGGATAAGGAATCTACAAATGAAAAGAAAAAAATCAATGGATGTGTGGAAAGCTAGTCAGCCTCAATAAAGGCCAGCTCACTCTACGTCACCACCCAACAGCATTTTTCTCATAGAATCCTCAGGAGTATCACACACACACACACACACACACACACACACAGACACATGCATACATGCATACACACACACACACACACACACACACATGTGCAAAAATACCCTTTGAGTAAGAGTTGTAAATCCTCACAACTTTCTGTTGCTATGCATTAGAACAACCTTTATGCTACGTATTAAAATATAAAGCAGCTATATACTTCAACCAGGCCCTTCTACTTCTATGGATGTATCTGAGGAAATAACTGCAGACATTAGCAATAGCTGCACTTACCGCCATGATTTAGTATATGCTGCACGTGGTGCTTTGAATTGCATTTGCTCATTTGACAATTAAGGAGCAGTTCGAGGTGTCTAGTACGTGCCAGATGCTTGAGAATCAGTCATACTAATACTGTACGCTGCATTGCTGTGTTGAGCTTTACAACACCACTGTCAGCAGCAGCAGCAGCATCTTAAAGTTGGTGGAACACTGTGGCAGTAGGAGCTTTACCTGGTTATATAGTCAGTCAGTGATGACATCCATGTTGCCTCTAGGCAAATTAGCAAAAGTATAGATTATCAGGGAACTATATAATCAGATATTTGTTCAAATATATAATATCTAAATATGAATTTATGCATACATATATTGACAAAACTCTGGATATTTATATATTAATATGTTATTTCTGTCAAATAGCTTTTTGATAATTTGGAAATACTAGAAATTATATGGAGATTCATTACAGGCACTTGTTTTAGAAGTAGGTGGCATTTACACAGTGGCATGCAACATAAACCCTGAGAGCTAAGAAGCACAGTGCAGGGGAGGGATATTGACACCACATGTGGATCTTAAACATTTGGAGGGGAAAGGTCTATTTTTAGAGAGCTTAGTGAAGGCATATGTGTCACAATTTCCTTTTGAGGAAAGTATATTTGTCACCATACATTTCACTGTATGGATAAAAATTCTGGAAGAGTATGAAAAGTTAAGTTGTATCTCTGAGGATGGAAACGCGTAGTGTACTTCCTAGTTCGCAGAGTTCCAGGTTGTTTGGATTTCCTGATAATAAGAATGCATTACTTAGCATTTCCACTTTAAAGTTCAAATATTTTGAAGGCGATGGGGTCGGGTATTTCAAGACAATTTTCATTTGGACTTCTACTCTTCTCAGTTTATAATGTGAGTTGTCTTTTAATTAGTATGTTCCCATAAATGTGGGAAATAGAAATGCCACAGATCTGATCTGGGGCATGTTGAAAGTATGTCTTGGTTTCTATAAAATATATTAAAGTTCCCATTTAGTAACACCCTCATAAAAATTCAGTGACTCAAAAAAGGAAGATATTATATATTGTTGTACCTGGATGTGGGGCTAGGGAGTGGACTTATGTATGTTTGCTTGGTTGACATCTGATGTCTTCCTGGGTGGTGCTTCAGCTTTTTTTTTTTTTTTAAAGGCAGGGTTTCTCGAAGATCCTGGAATCCACTAAGCTGCATTTTATTTACCCCTTTATTCTGAGCTGGGAATTCAGACTCGGAACACCAGGCATAGATTATATTTTAATATGGGTATTGGGTATACAAGTTTAGGTTTCCTTACTAATTGAGCTATTTCCCAGTTCTTACTTATTTTAAAGAGATCAGAATAGAGAAGTTTCTGTTTTAAAATTTTCCTCAAAAGATGTGTCCATGTGATGACTGTAACTGTGGCTCCTTAGAAGGAAGTTCTTTGTGGGTGGCATTAAGGATCTTGAGGTGGAACTTACCCTGAATGAGATGGCTCTTTAATTTGATGACACCTTTAATTATAAGGAAATAAAGGGAGAAATGCAGAGGAGACGAAGGAAACGCAAAGTGGAACTGCACAGGCATAAGAAAAATGGCTAGGTCTGCTGGCTGCAACCAGGACAGAGATGTGGAGTAGTTGTCCCCTCTCAGATCATCTAGAAGGAACCACAGTACTGAATCCCCATGACAGGTGGCAGGCATTGAAACACATGAGAATCAATTCCAATTCTCCTAAACTTCTGTGCATTGGTGGAAATCTGTTACAGTATCCCTAGAAACAGAACACATCTAAATACATGATTAATATTTGTTTGATTAAGATATGCAATTGGCTAACATGAAATAGAATTCTGAAAACAAAAATCTTACCATTTAAACTCTGTCCTATTTGTACAGTGCTGGAGGCTGAGTCTGTAATTGAATCACGGAGAGTTCTGGTTTCAAATGCGGTACTGTTTTCCTCCAAACCATCCACAAAGAAGCTGATTTTTGTCTGATGCACCTGTAAGAATTATCCCCATCATCAAGTGCACAAACTTTTGCTTGGCTTGAACATCCTGCCCACAGCCTTTCTATCTTTTCTTCAAGGCATTTCACTCTTTCTCAGCTTCCTTTGGGTGAAAAATGGAAGCAATTTATTTTAATAGCAGGACAGTATCTCTGCATGTTACAAACCCAGATATGAATCTTACAAACCCAGACTGGAATCTTCATGCTATGATGACGTATTCTGGGGTATTCGTGGGCTTTGCATAGTGTTGCCGTGTGTATGTGTGCTGATTGATAGCTAGGCTCTTAGAGATTTCTGAGGGTTGTGCTATTTTTTTTTTACTGCTAATGATATCGTGTCTATACTTGGAAACAAATTAATACATGAAGGGAGAGATATCCAAACCCAGATATATCCAAGAAGTAGGTGTTACCCGAGTCACTAGTGCAAAATGCTCACCGTAAATACCCGTTTCTTTAGGTACTGGAGTACAGCTGATGACTTTAAATATACTTTACCATTATAAAATAATATTAAAAATTTGCCAATTACATTCTAAGCTGATGAAAATCAAGCAGTCTAACAGCTATCTATATCAGAGGAGAGCTAACTCTTCCAATAAATACCCAGAGGAAACTGCAAGTTAAAGAATTTGGTGTGGTGGCTAAACAGTTCCTTACATGCCATCAGCTCTGATGTAGCATTGGCAGAGAAGCCATCAAAGACACTTAAAGAACTAGGCCTGATTAGGTGTCAGTTTAACATTAAACACAAAACCAGGTGACCAGGCAGATATGAGCCACTGATTGCAATCTGATGACTTCTGGGTTACAGTATAAAGAAACAAACACGCTTTCTGATATGAACCACCAACCAGTCAACATTTTGGAGGCAATATCTTCTAGATTGTAGTTATGCATGATCTTTGATGATTACACACAGATTCAGAGTAAACCAACTGCTGTTTAGGCACCAACTAGAGTGTCTACAAAACAGTCTGTCTGTTGACATGTCACTGACCGTAAAAAGGCATTCAAATTATCAAAGCAACTCAAGTGGAAAGAAAAAGGCCTGAGAGGAGGAAGGGACAGGTTGAAAAAGGGAGGAAGAAATTGGAGATGGACTATTATGCAATTAAAAGGCTGATGTTTAATACTTTAATGAAGTTCAACCTTGGAAATTATTCTAGAGCAGGGTTATTCTAAAATGGAGTTTGACAGGTAATGAGGTTTGAGTAAGATTTACTGTAGGTTCATTGATGAAACAGATTCACTAGTCTGGTGTACGACTTCAACAGTAAAAGACAACAATACATATATGAGGTCAAAGAGCAAGCAGACCTTTACCAGATACACATTGCTGTAAGTCTGGCTCTATGACTAGTTCTAAGTTACTGTGTCAACGTGTGTCTTTATTTATTTATTGGTGTTTAAGAACTTCATACATGCTTACCATGTATTTTGATCAAGGCTACCCCATACCCTCCCCTGTAACTCTCCTCCAAACATTGATCCTTTCTAAACTATCTCAACAGCATCTCTACTAAAAAAAAAAAAATTGCAACATTGAAGCAAGGTAAAACCTTTACATTAGTTATGTGAATTCTTGCCATAGGAATACCTTTCCAGATGCTCCTCCCCTACTCAAAAACCAAACTCAGAAACCTAGGGTTCAGGGGTGAGACTGGTAGGTAAAATGAATCTCCTTTAAAAAAAGTTAGGCACCATTGTAATTCTTCCTTGTAGCCAACTTCTTTCATTTTAGTGTGTCCTTTCTGAAATAGACTGAGCCAGGATTGCATGAGAGTCCATTTTAAATAAAGCTGGATACACCTAAAGTCATATACTGTTCCTCAGGAGGCCAGATCTATTTCTCTCCACTGAATAGTAGGGACGCGCCTTTTTATCCCCCTTGCATCCCATTTTTCTCCGCCGGCTACTGTTATTTGGTGTTTGACTGTTATCGTTATGAAAGATACAGGCTCTTCCAGTCCGTTATTTGTAGTATTATCTCATGTTTTACAGCATCTTTGCACAACATGCAGGCTACATGAAATATAACTAGAGGAAAGTTCCCGGTGGTATTAATGCATAAAAAAAGAACGCGGTTCCATCGCTACTGTCTTTGCCCAGCCCAAAAACTGATGAACAGCCAATTTTCCTTTATCACATTAGCACAGCCATGAGGGAAACACATTTGTTCTCGTCAGTTACACTAAAGATACTATTACCAATCTAACATATACATGTTTTATATCAGCAGTATTCTCAGAGCTTGAGAGAGTCAACAATATATTAACAGGAGCATGACAGTTTATTTAAGAAAAGAAAATTGTCTGTGCAGAGGGACAGAAGTTAGAAATGTATGGCTGAAGCCCGGTGCCAGTGCTCTAATAAAGGTGATAATTCTTGTGCTTGCTTTATAGCAGGTAGCACTCCTGTGACAGCTCTGTCATATCATTCAAATAAAAATGTTGTCTTTTACAAGTTTAAGGCTACCTTTATTTCGAGTCAGATAGAAACCACGTTTTTGATTTTCTGCTTTCTATCTGCCTCCGCTGTCCAAGACCTTCATCACCTTCTGTTTTTATCAACTCATCATGCCTTTGCTTAGTAGAAGAATTCTGTGTCAGTCACAGCAAATTCCGGAAGATGGTTTCGCTTGCCTGGCCCTTTAAAAATGATTCATGGTGATCCCAAGCTGCTCTCCCCACACCAAGCCCTCCCCGACCAACCATCTTTCTATAAATAAGATTAGATCTTTGGTTTTCTGAACCATGTTTTATGTTACAAGATTGCCCAAACTATTTTACAATTCTGATCTGGAGCTCCATCGCGATGACACCATGGAGACAATAGTGGCCTTTTTGTAACAGCTCATCCCAGGGCTCCCCCTTGCTGGTTATTGAGTGGAGTAGGAATGTATACAATGGGATTTCTGATCTGTGAAGAGAAAGCTTCTTGCCAAACCTTCCTCTACCTCTCATTCTCTGGCCCTGGGCAGATGAGAGCAGCCAGCACATATTAGTTGACGTGCTTTGAATGAGTACATTGGCAAGTCCAGCAGCATTTGCAGAGGGCTTTAAACTGAGCCCCTTAAGGGGTCCGCACGAACATGGAAACACGTATCAGCCATTCTCAAGCCTTTATTCCATGAGAGCTCCTTACTCTATTTTAACCACTACTTAACTGCTTAACAATACGCCCCATAAGAGGCTAGACTTATCCATTTGAGTGAAAGAGGGTATGTAGGACCTTGAAAGGCAGCCTGATTTCTGGTCAAGCACAGGCTAGAAACCCCCAGGGACACCAGGTTATCCTGAGGGACCCCAGGTGACCCTAAGGGACAGCAGTTGGCCCTAAGGGACGACAGGTGTTTCACCACATCCCCAGACTCCAGGCTCCTGACATGAGGCTGTAGCCCTCCATAGGTTCGTGTCCTTCAGTCATGTAGGACAACCTCCCTAGTCTCTCCACAGGTAGAGGGCGTGACTACAGGCCATGGGGCCTCAAGACAGATCTCTATATTAATGAGGTACCTAAAGGCCAGAAGGGCTTAGCCAAGTAACCTTTCCTTCCTATACACTCCTCCCTACAAAAGGCATTTAACCTCAGGGCTGCCCTGAGAAAATGGGGTAAGGTTTCTCATCTACATTCTGCCGTGACAATAAACATCTTAAAAATATGGACTGTTTCTCTTTCAGACTATTTCTCTTTTATCGGGATCCGCTGTGGGGCACAATGGAGAAGGCCTTCACCTACAAAGCTACCATCTAATCTCCTGCAGAAGACCTCTCTGTGCTCCCAGTCACAGTGACCGCCAACCAAAGCCAGCCTCCTGCAACCAAGAACTCTCCTTTCGGGCACAGCCAAAGCTTCTTTCCTCTTTTCCCCTTCAGCCGTGGGATAGTCCAGCCCGTGGGCCCTCACTTTGTTCTCAGCTGTTCTGCAGCACCTGGGTGTCGGAGAGCCTGAGAACCAGATGGTCCCTGGCCGCCCTGCAGGCCGGGGACCCTCAACCCCTAGCTAGTTCCAGCTCTCCGAGGACCTCAGACTGTGCTTCCCCACCTCCAGAGCAGTGTCCCCTCAGCAGCTTCTCACAGCTCCACACCCACCCGGCACTGGCATGGGGTGAGTGCAGTCAAACTCTTCCACGTGTCCTGCCTCCCTGAGTGGCCCTAGCCCCATGGTAGCGCAGCCACGGGGGCCCCTGCCCACTTTAACCCAACAAGGAGGTACATGAAAATAGCAATAGAATTCTAGGCACTATCCTCCTGTTCTTACATCCGATTAGTAAAGAATATACTTCAAAGGACACAATAAGAAGGGTTTGGAGGTCCACACCAGCAACCCTAGCACTTGTGATGCTAAAAGAGAAGGATGACCACAGCTAAATGCCAGCCTGGACTGCCTACATGATGTAACTCTCAAAAACCCTTGAATACATGTAAGTCTATATGTAAATTTTATTATATATATATATGTATATATTTATTTTATTATATACATATATATTAAATGAATTTTGTTCTGTCTTGGCTAGTAGTACTCACATTAAGTTCCACAGATGATCTAATAAAAACTACAACACCCCAGGTTGTGAGAAGTTCTTGTTTTCTTTTGAGTTGTTGGTCATGGCAGTTTAAGAGAATCCCAAACATCAGAGGCTGTTTCTGTTATCCTTGGTTGTCCCAGGAGGGCCAGATCCTCTTACTGAAGACACTGTGCAGTTTGGACCTGGGACCTGGAAGACCCAAACTGGATTTGACCTGAATGTCTCCTCGCTAGGGACTTCTTTCATGGTTCCAGAATGTGTCATGCAAGCTTCCAAAGTAGGGAACAACCATCAGTATCCAGCTATGATACTTCTGATTGACAGCAATGACCAGCATGATAGAATAAGGATGAACCAGTGGGGCAATCCCTGCTAGTAACCACAGCTCTCTAACTGGACTAAGTACCCAGTCAACAAGAGGGAGACCATCCCTGGCACTGGACACCTAGACAACTACT